GTGCCCTGGTGGGGGGAGGGGCCGTTCTGGGAGGGGGCGGGGCTCCCGGTGCTGGGGGGATGGGCGGCCCCTGTGCTGGAGCCCCGGGAGACCCCGCGGCTGCTGCGGGAATTGGGCGTGGCCCGGCCCCTCCCCCCGCCCCTCCCCCACCTGAAACGCGCCCGGGCGGGGCCGGGGGGGCGGGGCCTGGAGGTGCTGCTGTGCCTGGACCCCCCCGACGGTGAGACTGGGAGGGACTGGGGTATACTGGGATGGACTGGAGTGGACTGGGATGGACTGGGATGGACTGGGATGGACTGGGAGGGACTGGAGTGGACTGGGATGGACTGGGAACAAACTGGGATGGACTGGGAACAAACTGGGATGGACTGGGATGGACTGGGACGGACTGGGATGGACTGGGATGGACTGGGATGGACTGGAATGGACTGGGATGGACTGGGAACAAACTGGGAGGCACTGGAAGGTCACCGGTCCCTTACTGGTTTTACTGGGAGGTCACCAGTCCCTCCCAGTCCCTCCCAGTCCCTCCCAGTCCCTCCCAGTTCCATTTCCCGGTCCCTTACTGGTCCCTTACTGGTTTTCCCACGCAGGGGCCGTGGTTCCCATCGATTACATCACCGTCGATGACGTCAGCGGCGATGATGTCACCGCCCCTGCCATGGATTACGTCATTGATTACGTCACGGCCACGCCCTGGCCCGGGATGGGCACCAGTAAAACCAGTAAGGACAATGGGGTGGACACCAGTAACACCAGTAACACCAGTATGGACACTGGGATGGGCACCAGTGCTCCCAGTGCTCCCAGTGCTCCCAGTGATTCCGGTGTCTCTGCCGATTCAGGTGTCCCCAGTGCCACCAGTGCCACCAGTATGACCAGTATGAGAGGTTCCAGTGCCACCAGTATCACCAGTACCACTAAGGACTGCAATGCCACCAGTGCCACCAGTGTGACCAGTTCCAGTGACGCCAGGAGCTCCAGTGTCCCCAGTGTCCCCAGTGTGACCAGTGTGACCAGTGTGACCAGTGTCCCCAATGTCCCCAGTGTGACCAGTGTGACCAGTGTGACCAGTGTCCCCAGTGTGACCAGTGTGACCAGTGTGACCAGTGTCCCCAATGTCCCCAGTGTGACCAGTATGACCAGTGTGACCAGTGTCCCCAGTGTGACCAGTGTGACCAGTGTGACCAGTGTGACCAGTGTCCCCAGTGTGACCAGTGTGACCAGTGTGACCAGTGTCCCCAGTGTGACCAGTGTGACCAGTGTGACCAGTGTCCCCAG